TTTTTTTTCTTCTGTCCTCTGATAAGCATTGTTCAGGGCTGCCATTCCCAGAAGCTTTAATGCTTTCTAATGATACTTTTGGGAAACGCAGCCCTGTTTGAATGCACTGTCAGCAGTGAGTGGATGCTCTGTGTGATTGATTAGTTCTGTCTTACAACATTTGCGTGTTTAGATGAGCAGGAAAATAGTTCTATCCTACACAATTACTCGCTAACAAAGGTTATTCGTCCAATTCAATGCATATTGTACGCATTATTATTATTATTTTTGTTAAATAAACAAAATCACTGGTAAATAAAATACACCTTAGTATCGATATTTTTTGTTTGAGTATCGATACTTTCGATACTCGCGTCAGTATCGATATATCGATACTTAGGATCGATACGCCCATCCCTAGTACAAAACAGATTTCAGTACTTCAATAGGTTGGTATGTTAACATTATATCAGTTAATGAAATTATGGTATTTAACTGTAAATTTAAGTTTAAAAACGTTGCTACCGTATTTTTTACGGTAAAATTCCGGCAGTACTCCCCCCCCATACTATGGAAGTCAATGGGGACCAGCAACTGAAGTTGAACAATCCCTTTAATAATGCTGCATATCGAGGAAACATTTCTCTGTATGAAACCATATAAAAACAACAGTATTTAAAAATGTTTTTCAAATAAGATTACTCATGATTGAAAAATACCGTTGACTTGTTATATTATGTAAGGAATATCCAGTAGTTTTCCACAAAACCTTTCATTTAGGACCTGCATGTGATTTTGTATGGAGAGATATTTAACACCCCACAGAGTCTTAGCAATACTGCTGGGAAGCCATTAATACACACAAATCAGTGTGACGATAAACAGCAGCATTTCTATGAATTATTCAAGTTAGCAGTTTTACAAAGCAAGAGATGAAACGATAGCTCACAGAAATGTAAACGGGCTAACAGCACTTGAGAGGTGGAATATATGAGATATACTCATGCCTTATTAATGTATGAAAGGCTATTTTCTCAATCATACACTCAGCAATTTGAATTAAAACAACAAAAAAGCATTATATGGATATTTAGCTTTGGTTTTACATTTAAAGCATATATTAAGAGATAAAAGTCCACCTTCCATTTAAGTACATTCAACAAGCTTTTAGTGGAGCTCTTCAGCTCTTAGTATGAATAAGTAAAGAGGTACTTAACTATATTTGAAGTATGTATACTTAGAAAGATGAGTATTGTATAATACACTAATTACTGTATGTGTATTTTTCTTTCCATGTTATTTTAACTTAGTCAAAGACTTACAGAGTAATGTTTACTGAAGGTGTTGTTATTCATTAGAAATATAAAATGAAGAATAATGTTAAATGACCTATATTCCTCAATTCCAATACCTAGTGCTGTGAATGACTGTAGCTTTATCCTCCCTCGTGTCACCTAAAACATTTGTATTTTCCCCTAAATCTGGCCATACAAATCAAATTGTGTAGGTTACTCTGAAAATGACATTTTTTGTTATATTAAACAATGATCCCCCTGAAGTGTTTTCTTAATAGAGTTAGATGCCCTTTACAACTGAGAACGTATTAGTACTCAAGTGGCACCACATTAGCCAGCAGTAGCTGGTACCAGGGGAGTAAGACAGTGAGCTAATAGAAAGAGCAAGATTTTCCAAAACAACTCAATAGAGTACCAATGAGAGCCCTCTAAGTCAGTTTGCTTTCTTCTTTATCTCAGGAGACATGAAGAATAATTCTCCACCTCTCATTACAGCAACCTGTCACATTTGATCTACCTGTCATTTCCACCAACAGCAGACTGCAGAAATGAATCTTTAGAACTGACCGTCCAAAATGTTGACTTCATTCTAGTCCACATGTCCTCTCTGTCCACAAACGTTTGTATTATTAAGACATGCATATAAAACAAAAGATTATTATCACTCATGCAAAGCTCTTTGGGGTGAATTCAGCAGACTACCTCAATCTGTGCACCACGCAGAACTGAACTGAGAATTCATTTTAAATTCAATTCCTGAACTGAATCTGAATTCAGGTAGTAAACAGGATGTTGAATTGGAATTTGAATTTGAATGTAAAGAATTAAAATAAATTGAAATTCAAAGACAATGCACAATTTGAACGTAGCCTTGCTTTATTGGCCATTGATGGATGGATGGATAGATATCCCTAGAAATGTGATGGAAATTCACTTATTCATTTATTTTATATATTTCATCATATTTAACAAAATAACATTTGTAGACCAGGGTGGAAGAACATCCCAGAATGTGTTGTATTTCTTTTAATTTAATAGGAACCCATTCTGACGTTTGTGTGTGGTTAGTGAATTTTTTTTGTCTATATGCAATAGTGACACAACTGTTGTTGTAAATTAGTCCAAGTATTATCTTTCAAAACTGTAGTTGCAGCAAACGTGGGCCTTTTTGTCTTTGACATTGCAATGAATATTCCTATATTGTCCTATATTATGAACACTATATATTTACTCATTCTTCAAGACTTTCATAAACTCTCTAGAGAAATATCTGTTATGGAAGTCCCTTTCTGCACAAAGGAAATTATGAAGGTTTTCACTTTGGAGTAGTCATTGATTTGGTGTTATCTCACTGCTTCAGCCTAGCCATTTACAAATCCCTACTATGAAAACACAACAACAATGAACACTTGTGCAATATCATCACTATTTTTAAATCTTACTAAATCACGTCCTGTCAGCTGGAACTGTCAACATAACTCATAGCATAAATTCGCTCAATATTTTTTTTCGCTCATCACTATATCTTTCGGTTCTTTTCAACACCGATCCTATTAACTTGACGTATTTTTATAAATCAGTGCTGGCATAATTCATCAGCCTTCCCTTTCTCCATCCTCTCCATCATTAGATGCAGAAATCACAGTGAGAGCATGTCTACCCAAGCACATCTTTATAAAGCCATTCATTATTTACAGGTAAACGGTGACAAGATGACACTTCTTTTACATGGCCAAACTCCGTCTCGGTCGACAGCTCAATACAGTGTGTCTGCAACACTGCCAGGAATCTCTAGAGTGATTGAAGACATCTATCTACCTTTAAGTCTTAAAGTAGCTGCTG